GGGAACCAATAGGGCGAGGGTGAAGCTTGAGCAAGGTAGTGGGAGTAGCCGTCGAGAGCGGCAACGGTTATGGCGTTAATGCCCCGGTGGGATTAAGCTCAAACAAAGAGTCAGCAGTGAGACCCCCGTGCTCAATTGACAGCTTATATTCTGATGTGATCACCGACCAATCAGTACTGGGTATTATTTTACCTCTGGTTTCCTAAATCAGCGATCCTCCCAGTAAGTGTGTGACGAAACGGTACAACAGGTATTTATCCATTTTCCCCTGAACGGGAAAGTTGAAACCTACTCCAGTCTGAGAACTTTCTCCTCAAGCTTCAGTCGTATATCAGTGGCTTGTTTCCAGCGCCGCCGAATGCTAAACTATGTCTAAGAGATTTAAATGGGGCCTGCACCGAGAATCAGCTAGCTACTAAACATGTGTGTGAACTGTGAAAAGAAGAGAAAGAAACTATAAAGCCTGGGCAAGAGGTGTGGGCTTTTCGAGCGAAGCTATCGAGCGAAGTTTGTCTATCCGGCGGGAACGAGCACATGATACAATTTGTACCTGTTCGTGTGACGAGAGGCGGAAGAACGTGAGACTGCAGTGAGAGCGAGGGATACTTACCATCGAGGAGAGAGAGAGAGAGAGAGAGAGAGAGAGAGAGAGAGNGAGGAGAGAGAGAGAGAGAGAGAGAGAGAGAGAGAGAGAGAAAGAGAAAGAGAGAGAGAGAGAGAGAGAGAGAGAGAGAGAGAGAGAGAGAGAGGGAGCATCAGCCAAAAGGGAGTCCTAGAGTAAACAGTGCTCGGGAGTGTATCCTGAGAAGTGGGAAGCGGGAATGAAGGAGAGTTTGAGTCGGGGTTCCGGAGTGAACGGGAACGAGTGAAAAGCAACTCAATGAGGGACTGCTGCTCGAAGCTCGCTCCCCTGCAGTAAGCCTTAACCCTGATCAGAAGGTCTACCGATCATTTTGGAATTCAAACTCTGTAATTGTTTTGAAGTTTTCTTTTATTCTTTTTTTTTTTTTTTATCTCCCGTCTCTTCTCTTATCGGAACTGGATCCTTGAATCAGCCTTCTGCCTCTAGGGTGCGCAACTAACCACCGCTACGCAATGACTTAGTAACGACCCTCTGAAATTTGTCTTTGCTCTTTTGTGACAGAAGGCTTCGCTCCGTTTATGTTCTTGCTGGTTCTGGAATTGAGTATGACCAGGTATTAAACGTAAGCGGAGAGAGACGAAATGAGTTAGGGAACTGAAAAGGGGGGGAGTGAGAAGGAGAGAGAGATCAGTGGGAAAGAGAGAAAAACCAATAATAGAGAGAGAGAGATCGGTGAGAGAAAGGGGAGAAATAGAGAGAGTGGTCCTGATTTTGTTTACTTATTTCTTTATTTCTTTAATGTTTCTATATGAGAATAGTCGCGGGTCTACGAGGACACGAAAGAGTATTGCCTCCGCCTTCGGCATTCTTGCTAATGATTAGAAAGTGAAACTTGTTTGAGTCGCTGTCATTTTTCTGCTAAGTGTTGTGAAAGAGGGTTGCTACAACTAACTGTTGTTTGGACTATTTAGTATGAAGTGAGCCCTGTTCCGCTCTCTGTCATTTTGGCAGATGCTGTAAATCGCGCCCTCGTTGTGTCGTGATCACCTTTGTTGACCAAAGTGAGTCGAACCTGGCTCCAGATCTCGATTACTTCAAGGAAACTATCGTGAAGTGAGCCCCGTTTGTTTGGGGGGAAATTTCGTTGAATGCTACAATTCAAGCTTGGGGAAAGGGCTACAGATGGTGTAACTCCGACGCCCCCTAGAAGGGGGATGGTAATAAGTCAGACAACCACCATAACCCTGCAGGTCGCTGAGGACCTCGGAAGCGGGCGCGGCGAGTGACAGGCGCCGTGGCCCTTGGCTTCAGCGAACTGCAGGTAGCCCCTCCCCGGGTTTCCCCACAACTTTGGCGCCGTTGCCGGGGAGGGGACTGCACCCCCAAGGCCTCGGCCTTCCCCAATCAAGGAGGGTGCGAAAGAAACTAATTAGCTTCAAAGAAAAGTTGATTAGTCGATTTCGTTTAGTTTTTTTTTAATTTTTATAATTCGTTTTTCTGCAATATCTTTTGAACCGGTCGTTTTTCCGCAAGCCGTACAGGGAGCAAAGTTTGTCCTCTCGTCGAGGTGAACGTTTTGCGACCAATTTTGAAAAATTCTAACGGCTAGATTTCGAGATAATCAATTTTCTTTATTTTATTATTTATTATTCTGAAAATATTCGTTTTTTCCTTTTATTAATTGTGAAGAAAAGAAGCTGAATCCAAGGAAAACTCCCGGGAGCAAAGTCGTCCGAATTTTTTTTTCCGACATTTTGAAACATTGGTAGGGGAAAACGGATGCTGTCTTGGTTGACTGCGGGATCGAACAGATAGAAAAAGAAAGCAAAAATAAAAAGAAAATTTGACTTTTTTTGTAATTTCATTTAAAATTAAAGGGAAAGAGATAAGAAGAAAGTGATCCGATAAGATTTCTCTTTGAACTTATAAGAGCTCAACAAAAATTTTCCTACGATATACAGGGGTTTGTGGTAAGCGCGCGAGCACGCGCAAGAAACTTAAACCCTAATTAGGGGAAACCCTAGTTGGGTGAAACCCTAACTAAGGGTTTAGGGGGCGAAAGCAACCCCAAGAACTGTAGTGAAACTAAATATTTGCGAAAGCTTATAACCTTGTGATTTTTCTATGATTTTACATATTTATCGATAAAAAAATTAGTATAAATTAATTAAAAATAGCAATTTTTCATTTAAAATTATTTAGAATTTGCTTTTCCGGCCTTTTCGGACAGTGGATTAAGGGACGATTGTCCCAGACCTCATCCCCGCGTGGGGAGGCGAAACGCTGCTGAAAAATTTAAAAATTCTGTTTAAAATTAAAATTTGAATTTACTAGTATTTAAAAGGGTAAATTATTAAAAATAATTAAAAATTCAGTAAAATAGGTTTATGTCTTTTATATTATTTTTCACCTTTCTCTGCATCCCTTAGTATTTGTTGAGGGCTTCGCCCGAGCCCCATCCCAACGGGGGGGGCGAAGTGCTGCCAAAATTTTTCTAAATTCGTAAAAATTACTTTAATTAAAAATAAATCAAGGGAATAGAGATACTAATAGGAGAAATCCCTTCTAACGAAGACAGACTAAAAAGACGAATTATTTCGACCTTCTTTAAAAAAAATTCTAATTAAATTTCGATAAATATTAAAAAAAATTCTGGGAAAAGGTAGGGATAAGGGAGAAAGACGAAAGGGAAATTACAGAGAGGAACGAAATCAAGTCCTCTAAAGGACAGGTGTGGAAAAAGAATTTTCTTGGATTCTTATTGAAATTTTACGAATTAATTTTTGAATAATTCAGTAAAAATACTTGGAAAGGTCGAGAACACGAGGGAAATTCGAGATTGATTTCTTCTAACATTCTTCAGCCATCCTTGAATTTTAAGGCCGGAGTACCTCCAATTTAGGGATTGATTTTGAATTTTCTCTAATTTAAACTATTAAAATTCATTAAAAATAAAAAACAGTTCGGAAAATTCAGGGAAAGAGTTCTAGTTTAGTATTTCGTAGGTTCTTAAGTTGTTTGCAGCCCTTGCGGGCAGGGGGCGCGCGCGGGAGCGCCGAGAGTAGGATTCTCTCGAATTGAGCACGCGCCTACTATTCGAGGGAAGTTGAATAGAAGGCTCGTTAGCTCAATTCAAGCCAGGAATTCTGCCTTATAGATGTCAGGGTAAAGGTAGACGTCAGTTAGGACATAGCTAGGTAGCGTTTACCCAGGGATCACCTCCCTAACCCCATCCCTACGGGGGGAGGTGAAGCGCTGCCGAATTTTTTAAAGGATTATAGATATTCGTTGCTCCCATACCCCTTTTCAAGCGTTGTAGGGCTACCCCTATGTACGGCGGCTAGTTTGATGTTGCGGTCTTAGGCTATAGAGATCTACGAGGCCGGCAGCGCATGGGAGATAGAAGCTCCGGAGCTTATAGAGGGTGACCAGGTGGAGCTTACCCTTCCAGGGAGACCTACTGAGTGGATCGATAGGGCGTTTCGGTGGATGTCTGTTTTCCTGGCCACTGATGCTTGGCTGTGGGTATACAGACAGCACGTGACGGAGGAATATGGGGATCAGACGCGAGGTGTAGTACGGGCATACCTTTACTTAGAAGAGGAGGCAGCCAAGGGGGCTGCTTTGAGCCTAGTGATTAGGGGGACCAGCTCGATTATCGAGAGGGCCCAGGATTTTTTGCAGCAGGAGATCGACGAGTTCCTCGCGGACGACGCGCAGGATCCGTTGACCCTGTTCCACGGTCGGGCCCCTTTTGACGTTACGGGCGAGCTCTTGATAGCGCGAGACTTGTTATTCCCGTACTTTGATACTTGCCTGAGCTATTCTCCCCTCGTTCGTGGTGGACTCAGTCTTCGGAGGTATAGGGGTTATCGTGGAGTCGTACCTAGCCTATAGGAAGCTGGAGACGTTTGTCAGGGGTAGCCTAGACGTGTGCTATATATACTACTCCTTCACGACGGGAGGGCTCCGTTGGGGAGACGAGAGGGTTCAGCTGATAGAGTTGATCCGCTCGCTAGGGGACGACTGTGAGAAAGGAGTGTCGTCGTCCTCGTATGTTTGGAGCTGGCTGGATCGCGAGCTCCGGACAGGGACGGAGTACGTCACCTGTGTCGGGAGACTCTTTTGGGAGGATTGGGATAGTCTGTGGAGCGAGGCCCCTACCGGACCACTGATACGTGAGTATCAGTTGGCTCGTTACTACGAGACACTCGGACTTCGTCCGTACCGCGTGGAGGACGAGGACGACTACGAGGGGTGGGAGAGTGACGACGGCGACGAGGAGGCCTGGGAGCCTGACTGGGTCGACTCCGAGGGTGAGAGTTCTGAGACGGAGGAGGAGATCGACTTTACGGACGCCCATTTCCCAGGATAGGAGTGGTGGTTCGAGTATAGGAGGCAGAGTATAGAGGAGCGCACTAGGTGCGACGATTGAGTGGGCTTAGCAACTAATATCGGCTGATAGTAGAGAGCGATTCGATGGTAGAGCAGGTCAGCAGAGTGGAGCTTCAGATCGACGACGCCAGATGGCCTAGGCCTTCAGAGACAGTAGCGCCAGGCAGGGTGGCGCTAGATCTGCCAGCCAGAGGGGTTTCTGCGGATGCAATAGAGAGTCGATGGTCATCGACGGTGCTGGCCCCAGACGTATACCTGTGGATGTACGTCATCGAGACATTCGAGCTGGACAGTCAGAGGTGGCGACGACCTGGCACGACTAGTATAGAGGTGGTGGGGCACATCTACTACTCGCCGGAGGTGCTAGCCACGGTCTATTTTCACGGCCTCGTCCACGATCCTTGGCGAGAGGAGCAGACCACAAGGACGATCTTACTGGCTCGAGCGGACTCCGCGCGTGGCGAGGGAGAGCGGCTGCACGGGAGAGTTCAGAGAGTGACGACAACCTTCAGGATCGGAGGACACTTCCCATACCCTAGCAGTCGACTGCGTGTCACACTTCTGGGCTTTGTGGCGGAGGAGCTTTGGGGTCTTAGGCGTCTGGGTGAGATCTACTTTGCGGCTCTTGACTTGGACGGCCTCTGCCGAGGGTACGCTGATAGGGACTGGGTGCTGTATGCTCAGTTTGTAGCGGGGCCGCTTGTAGGCGAGCGAGGGCTCCAGTTGATTGAGTTCCTGCGGGCCATTGTACCTACTGGGAGCTCTGACCTATACTCTCTGTACCAACCTCTAGCCTTCTGGACGGCGCTAGAGAGAGAGGCTCATAGGTCTACAGATCATTTAGCTGGAGTAGGGCAGTTGTTAGCCGAGACTCGTGAGGAGAGGCCGGGTCATCTCATCTCGACCTGGGAGGTTGAGGAGTATTACCAGCAAGTATATCCAGAGGCTGACGATCTTGGATGGTACGCTGAGGATGGGGATTGGAAGGACTTCGATGACATAGACCCTTGGGGCGACCAGGACCAGGGTTGGGGAGATCTGGCCCAGGCTGAGGGACAGGAGCAGATAGGTGGAGAGGCACCGCAGGAGAACGGCTGGGGATATCTTCTTCAGGCCGAGGGACAGGAGGACATCCCTTGGGGACGAGGGGACGAGGAGCTAGATGAGGATGGCGATGTGGGCATGGCAAACGCAGAGGGGATGTAGCTTGTGAAGATTAGTGCGAGTCAGGTGGTAGAAAGGAGATAGAGAAGATGGTCGAGACCACGGATGGGTAGGCATGCGCCCTCCTTCATACGAGCTTATTGGTATCAGTTGCTTGTTGTGGGGTGGGAGCCTACGAGAGAGGATATTGATAATGTTATACGATCTTTGAACGGAAAGACGAAGAGGGAATTCCTGCCATACGAGCTGGTCGCGTACGACTACGTCCAGGGAGGGGGCTTAGATCCTTGGCGCATATATGTACTTACTTACCACTTTACTAGCTTGGACGAGTATGACGTGTGAGCCTACATTCCTGTGACCAAAACGAGAAGAAATTTGAGTGTTAAAGCGTGGAAGGCTTATGCCGGATTAGTAGGGGGAGAAGTAGTAAGGTTGCAACAGGAAGGGAAGATTGTCAGTTGGGATACAGGAGTCAGGGTGTTCACAGGCATTCCTAGACCTCCAATTATAGGGAGAAACTTATCCTGGTATAATTGGCACGAGGTGATAGAGTTAGCCACTCGGATCAGAGATCGGACGCAACCTAGAAAAGGGAGTAGTGGAGAGACGGTTGGTAAACACAGGGAGATAGCTTTCGAAGAGACGAGAGTTGCAGGAAGCGCTGGTGGAGATGGCTGATAGAGACATACTGAGAGTGACACTCTCCTTGCGACGAGATAGGATAGGTGGCTGGGAAGATGAGGCGTTGGACAATGTTGAGCGACAGATCAGACTCATGACGGAGCATGCTCTGGAGATACGGAGAGGCCAGAGATACGTCGAGTTTACCATCTACTTCCATGGAGCTGACGGGAGAGTCCACAACACCTACTCGACTATTTTGAGCCTAACCGGTAGAGTTGTCTGAGAAGGTAGTGGCGTCGTAAGATCAAGTGTGTCAGAGAGAACCAGAGTGGCAAGGATTGAGCGACATGCGCCGATGAGGAGCGATTGGGACATATGGGTGACGTATGTGTTAACACGAGGGTCCGAGGCCCGTAGAGTGATAGATTTCATAGGGCCAAGAGAGGCGGCACTGGGATATGATGTCCCGCTTCCGGTGCGCTTAGAGGAAGGAACTTGGGTGTCAATCCGATATTTCGGTACTTGGTTGGCGAGAGGGGTTTTCTTGTGGACAGTGATTACGGAGGATCAGGGGTTTCCCCGACAGGTGAAGGGTATAGGACATCTTGTGTTTGATAAGGAGAGAGATACAGAGATAGGGCTGACACTTGTAGGCGTTAGCAGGATCTGGTGGAGGTACGAGATCTTAGCAGCGGCGATAGTGAAAAGACAACTGGCTAACACTGGTGAAGGTAGACCTTTTACCACGCGAATCGTGGTCGGTTGTCCTCCACAAATTTATCATCCGATAGGGAGCTGGCGGATGGTATTACCCAAGTTTGTTATAGAACAAACTTACGAAGGCGTGAACTGCTTGACGAAATCAGTCGACCACACTCAGCACTCGTTCTTACGGGGGCTGGACCGTCGATTCCTAGAAGCGTACTACTCAGTCTGCGTAAGGTGGGGACCTTCTGGTAAGGAGATCCAGAGAGACTTGTTAGATGCCACCTGCTGGCTAGACTATCTGAGACCTGCAGATTTTATTCACTATTGTCAAAGACGCGCAGAAGACAAGTTCATCGGGCTGGAGGACCTGAGATACTTGTTTGTGCATAGCTAGTGGAGGAGATGCTAGGTCGGACGATTACGGGGGTAAATGTGAGGAGGCAATTAATGAACGAGGGTTTCACGATTACTGTCCTACTCAGGGCTCACATAGACAACAACCTAACAGAGTAAGAAAGTTTCCTACAAGCCAGAGAATTTATTCGAAAATACGGACCGGGCGTTCTCGAATGTGTAACCTTCCAGACTAAGATAACGTACGAGGTAATGGTATGGGCGGCTGGGTACTTGCGAGCGGAATTGTTCTTCGATGAGACGATAGTGGAAGCCAGGAGTAGAGTATGATTACCCGGTCATGACGGAGCATGAACAACAACTGTATTGATATAGACCTCGAACCTCGTATTCACTTTGATGGGACCACAGAGGGTTCGAGTCCTGGAGGAGCGTGAGTGAGAGGAACCCCCGAGTAGCTATTCGGGGAATTGAGACAAGGAGTCCCTCTCCTCAGCGACGCCTTCCCTACGCTCGGGTTGTCTCTAGGCAGCTAGCGTATGACAGCGAGACCCTACAAATTCTCTTGAAGGTGAGCATAGAAGTAGACCTGTCAGACAGCGAGTTCAAAGAACTTGCGGAAGACGTCATACGAGAGCAGAGACCTGGTGCCTTGAGGGAATTGACGACGCAAAGTTGGGTAGTATATGAGGTGATCGTATGCGTTAAAGGAAGAGTACGCTTGGAGATAATTCGGGACGAAACACCCTCGGAAGCTAGAAGCAATATGTGATAGGAAGTTCATGAGAATAAGAAAGATGGGTTGTAGGTGATGGAGGATCTAGAAGAGAGGAAAAAGAGAGTCGATGATCGGATTATTAAACCAGTAGTGAAACTAGTCAGAGAGCTTGGCGTCAAGATCCAGGATTGCGTACCGAAAAAGAGTGAGAGCGAGTTGCGTAAAATAGAAGCGGCAACGAAGGCATTGCAAAGGCTTTTGAAAGAAGATAGAGAATTTTTTGTGAGGTGGAGGCTTGATTTTTTGGAAAGTGTGAAGGGGAGAGTTCATATTAGTCAGGAGCGAGAAGGCTCGCTCGAAACGACCGGGAGGACAAACGAGGTGTCTGAGGCAGTGACCTCAGGAAAGGAGGCGAAAAATGAGGGAACGTCAGGACGAAGATAGAAGAGGATGAGTAATGAGAGATGTGATATGCGTATAACCGGAAGGTTATATGGGCAAATCGCTTGAGTCGTCATACAACTAGTCCATCTGGAGAAGCTAACTGTGATAGAAGAGGCGGAGTGCACTCGACAAGCTGTACGGAAGGCGCGAGTGAACGGACTCTGGGTAGGGGAAGAGAGTGCGTGTTTGATCAACTATTCGCTGCGCATTACCCCTTTTGACGAGCCACCTCTAAATAGGGCATGGCGTGAGACTTCTAGGGAGGCTAAGAGGCTCCTGGAGAATGAAGCAGAGGGAGCTGGAGATCTGGTGGAGATCATAGGGGAAAGTTCTCAGAATACTCCAGGCACACAACTGGTATTGGAATGAGTACCTTCAGACTCTATCAGATATTGAAGACTTTGGGGATGTAGACGATTTTGAGACATTCTATAAGTTTTTGGAGGAATCCACTGACAGAGTTCTGTTATCCCTGACACTAATCGCAGCGGAGTGTTAGATACCTCATGGATGAGAGATGTCATTACCAGATGCAGAGCTAGCAAGGAGGAGAAGAAAATTTGGGGTTTGGGGTGGTCCTTACGAACCTGAATACGAGAAAGTACTTGCTGGATTAAGCGCTTTAGGCGGACGAGAGATCTTCCCTTACGGAGTGATTAAGTATCAAGGACAGAACAGTGGAATCGAACACAATCAATATTATATTATGACCGTGCGGTTTCATGACTTAGAGGTGTACCACGTTGGTATATATCTGCCTAAAGAGATAGAATAATTTTGCATATACGAGAGGACTTGGAGGAGAGTTGCTTGGGCATTAAGAGAAGAGGAAAAGAGGTTAAAAAGTTTGGGAAAGGTTGGAGGTCTGCGACGACATCACTATTTTCAACGGTCTGCCTAGGCCGTCTGTTCCACGTCAAGGGCTAAAGCAAAACAAATGGGAGGCTGTAGTTGGATTCGCGCGGACGGTCAGGATTGAGGACAAGTTCCAAAAGGCCACTAGGGATGAATAACATGAGGGAATGAGTAAAAATACGACTATTTCTGAGAGGGAATGAGTAAAGATACGACTATTTCTGAGAGGGAATTGCAGTCGCGTAGGGAGAGGTTTCTCGCTAGAAACAGACCTTCGGACGAGGTGTTGGCGGAAATTTGCGAGAGGTTAAGCTCCCTGGATAGGAGAGAAGTGGTTCCGTACGAAGTGGTGACATACGAGTTAGTGGACAGCGGATGGGAGCAGATACGTCTTTACATTATCACCGTTCGGTTCTTTGCCGTGGAGGTGTATGATGTTAGGATTTACCTCCAAGTTGAACGAGAAGGCGATTTGATTTACGGTCGATGTTGGGAGCGCGCGGAAGAAGTCGTTGAGAATGAGCGGGATAGGCTCCTAGCGCTAGGTAAAGAGGTAATCTGGAACACCCGGATTACGCTCTTTCAGGGGTTGCCCAGACCTCCTATACCGCGTCAGGTGGTTCGAGGGAGAAACAATGAGGCAGTGATTGGTCTAGTACTTCGATACTTTAAGTTTGATGGCCGTAGGGCGTGATTGCCTGCTCGCAGGAGCTCACGTCGCACATCAAGGGTTGAGTGGTCTAGCGCGGAGGACATCGGTCGACCTACGAGAGAGTTTGTGTTCTTGTGCGCCTGAAGAGTTGATGAGGATCGTGACAGGAATTTGTAGGAGAGTGAGGATATCAGAGTCCGGAGTCATAGAGATTATGAGAGGTGTTCGTTGCATAGAAGAGCAGGAGAGAGAACTTTATTTTGACTCGGGGATTTTTTATATCGAGGGTGAGCACGAGATACGAGGCGAGGCTGGGAGACTTGTTGCAATCCTGAGAGCGGTCGCAGACGAGTGATTGATTCTTTCATAGGTCCGGGCTGCGGATTCTTTCATAGGTCTGGGCTGCGGGTTCTTTCATAGATCCGAGCTGCGAGTTCTGTCACAGGTCCGGGCTGATGCAACTGTCATAGGTCCAGGCTGTACCCAACTACAGCTTGTGGTAGCCTATGGAACCAGATACGATGGGGCCACAACCGACCATGGCCGAAGCGGGTGAGGAGTACAGGACATCGCCCGACCGAGTACTGAGCGATCTGAAGGAACGAATTAGGCAGGGAGCACCGCTGAGATGGGCTGACCAAACCAATGACGGAGAGTCCGACGTAATGGGCGAGCCGGTCGTGACAGAGCCGCAGGAGGCTCTGAAGACTGAGACCTCGAGCGCTCGACGAGAAGCGACGACACGACGCTTCCCTGGGTATGAACGGAGGGAAACCCGGGCGGATAGGCGCAGGGACGACTGGAGAGAGAGTCCGCGAGATTCCTATTGGAGGGACAGAGACAGGGATAGAGCACCGCCCCGACGTGTCTTCGACCCCCAGACGGGGGAGTCACATCCGCTCCCTTACGAGAGCAAGGATCGCTATATTATTACGCACAAGGTCTCTGAGCCTCCTACTTTCAGG